AGGAGTATGAAAACAGTATTCGCAAAGGTACAGAAAATTTAAAAACTTCTTTATTTTATTTAAAAAAAATGGTCTTTAAAAGAGAAATTTTTTTTTTTTAAATTTAATTTGCTTCTTGCATTTTCTTCGCCATTTTTGAGCAATTTTTTTCAAATACAAAAAAAACGTAAGCTTATTGAAAAAATATTAGACTTTCTATTTGTTCAGTTATTTTGCATCTGCCATTTAAGGTGAAAAGATTTTATGTGATTGCTAAAAATGAGTTGGCAAAGATACTGTTTGAAAGAAGTTTTCAGTTGCCTTCGGGGACAAGAAATTTTGGGGAGGAAAGGATATCCCCCCGGACTTCTATATAGGCGGCAAGCCAAATTACCTTTCTATCCCTGGATACAAACATGGAAGTTGTTTAGCAATGGGTTCTAACAATTCTTGGTCGCTACCAGATTGTTCTCTGAAAATTCACTATATTTGTGGCAATTATTTGAACTGTTCGTCATTCTGACAAAACCTATGGCTGCTGAAGAAACAGTATGCTAGAAAATGTTTCTGAATTCTCTTTATCAATAAATCACTTCGAGAACTCTGCAATCAGAACATTTACAAACGCCGACCGTTAAAAATTGACTACTTTCTTTTTCGTGCAGTTATCTTAAGAAATTTACCGCAATGAACTGGAAGTTTATAGAGCGACAGTAGAAAATAGTACTGCGTAGATTTAAAACTTCACTATTCTGCTGCCACTGCTATTGTCTTGAAATTGGTCTAAATGTATTTTTGAGGAAAATAAGGCATTCTCTGAGATCTGCCTGAAGTGATAAAAATTTAGAACGTCTATTTTTCATACTATTAGTAAACCCAGTTTTAAAACTTTTCTGCCATAGTAGAAAAATATTCCTGGATTGTGTGAAGTTAATTCTCCAAAAAAGCCGTGGTGGTTTGATTTAACTAATCAACCGTTAGCAAACGCATAAGCTGCTGGTTGCTCCACAGTTTAGGAAAAAAGAATTCACAAAAACAGTTTGGAACAAAGAAGCTTTAGTGCATAAAACTGAGATCGGGTAAGTTAAGGTGTGTTCTAAGGTAACAGAGATTGAAACATTAAATTCGGAAATTCGCACAAACTTCGAAGAAAACTTCTAAATGCGAACATTCCGGTCATAAATGAAGTTGAATAAGACGGTAAAAAAGATTAGAACAAACAGCAACCATCAGGTTTGAGAAGCAAATAAAACCTCGAGAAAAGTGAAGATATTTACGTTTGATACCAAATATATTTTTTTACTTCCAACATCCGTTACACAGCCTTTTTCACTCCTTTCGGAAAATAGTGATCTGGTGATTTGTCTGTTGTTTTTACCTATTATTGTAACAATTGCAACTGGAAAAAATTTTTGTTTTTTTAATAAGTCAAACATTAATTTGCTCTAAAACTTTATGTATTTAAGGCATAATCGGAGTAGTCTACCCAGCTGCTTCAAAAAGTTTCTGCACTGAGTTGACCTGTTCATCCTAATTTGAGTCAGTGATCGGATTAAAAAACGCCGATTAATTTGCTGCATTCATTCTCCACAACCTTCCTTTGTTCCTACCGCTAGAGATGATCTTAGTTACTCAGTTGTGTTTCATTATCCATTTTGGGAAATCAACCAAACCACTTCAAACCACGACTGCGAGACTGCTTCATGCCTACAAGATCTTTTGACTGAAATTAAATATATATAAATACAGCATTGGAATCTAAATGATCATTTCTAGAAACTGGAAAAAGTCTTCGTGAAAAATATTTATCTTTGTAATTTTCGTCTGAAAATCACGAGCGAGTGACGATACTCGAGCGGTGGTGCATAGTTACCGGACAGCTACAGATAAGTTTCATTTCGCACTCTTCAATTTCTTCACCACGTGCTTACAGAGTGAATTTGAAGCAATTTTTGCCACAGCGTAAAAAAGAGAGTAACTGTCATCTTTGTCATTAAGTTTTCACTTAAACTACATAAAATAATCATTTATTTCGTTATGCTTTGTAAGCTGTTATAATTTTCATAACCAGGGTGAATATTGACTGTCACTTCCAAAAAACCGAATAAGGTTTTATAACAGCTATTTTTGTAAACATAAGTTACAACTCAATGCTTTAAAATGATGAAATACGTAGATCAAGTACTTGTCTTGAATAAGTTGCTTTAGCGTACGCCTCCCGATCTTTCATTTAAATGAACGCTGGGAATTTGTTACTAAATGATTAATCCTTTCTACTACAGAACTTGCTAAAGAAGACTGGAGCACTGATATCAAAAACTGTATTTTTTTCTTCAATTCCTACCAAATCAGTATTGGCAGCCAAGAAACGCTTTGCACAGAACCGTGAGGAATAGCAATATTACATTCTCCTGGTATTTGTTCTAAAAAATTGCAGCTGTTTTTTTTCTCAACCTATCAGATATTCTTCTCGGTGCTATTGGCAATAAAAACTCATATGACAACATGATTCTTCCTCATACATAAAGCGTAGAATCATTCCTCACCATTTTTAAATTAAATGTCTTTCTCTGCAACAAGTTTTCTTTCGTCACATTTATCTTAAGAAAAGCTATAAGCCAGTCTAAAATAGCACATATCCTCAGTTACCTTGCTAGCGCCAGCGCGTCTGCGAACAGATCGTCTAAATAAAAGAACTTTTTAAAATAGGTCTGGATCTCCTGGAGAGAATCTGCCAACCCCACAAGTTACATTTCAACGTTACCAAAAACGTTTAGTCATTGTCCAGATAACAAGCCATAAAGTCCGACCTAACAGTACAGTAAAAAAAAAAAATTCATCTCTAAGTAGCGTAATATCATTTGCAAAGTAGCTACATTTTGCGTTGATCCTTTTAACTTTTGTAGACGAATGGTCAAGATGTTACTTGTGGGAAGCTGCGGCCCTAATATGAACTACAGTGAATGAGTAAAATATGCCAACGCCCTCTGAAAAGTCTGATAATATCAAGTTCACTCTCAGCGATATTATACCTAAAGCTTCAACTTTAAAAAGCAAGGCCCTCTTAGATTTTCATCAAAATATTAACCGACGACCACAGTGCAACAATTTTTTTTATTGATACGGCATTGTTTGCACCGTTACAGAGTAAGGAGCCCCGCGTTTGACGCTGAGTCAGCGAGTTTTCTCATCAGCTGCGTGTCATTGGTAAGTTGAGAAACTTCCTTGCTCTGTAGATTTTTCCGCTATACATTCGTATTTGGTGATATTTAAGGTTTATGCAGAAGCATGAGAAGAAATTACATGTCCAACATAATAATGAAGTTCTTTGATTTTTTTTTCCAAATTGAGAGCCCTACAGATGTCTTTTATGATAGCGCAGAACACTTGGACTTGCAAATGAGTGCTAATAAAGTAGAGTTGCTGTGGTAAAAAAGACCGTTTAGAAAGTGGGATTGTCAAACTTGACACCAACGAAAAAAAAAATAGGGAAAAAACGCTAGAAATAAGGCAAAACAAAGCCTTTAATGAAGAGCTAGAAATTGGACTTCTTTTTGTTGAGATATTAATAGGGACAGTTTTTGCGGATTGTTGAGCATACATCTGACCAAACTAGTAGCCTTCTAAACAGAAGGCTTTCTAAACAACCAGTACGTGTGGTTAACAGGACCTCTGGAATAGCTATCTGAAAATTGACTGCCTGTGAAACTAACCATTTTTAAAAATTTTATCTTTTCGAACAATCTCTTTTAGTCTCGGAACTGTAATTTTTTAGCAAATAATTCCATTCGGAAATTTTCTACACAACTTCAACGGTTTCCTTGAGCCCTTCTGGTTAAGAAAGCCAACAAAAACCTCGCCATCATTTTAAACGTATTAGTTTTTTGCTCATAAATGTGAGTAAATCTTATACATTATCATTATAACTGAAATGAAATCAATGAGTCGCAGAAGCAGCAAAGTCGATTATCCTTCCCACCAATGATGAGCAGCCAGTCAGAGAGCTCTGTGCATGAGAGACCTCTTTAATTGCAAAGGTGCCGATTTTTACTTCTTCTCCTCTCAGCCAGTCAACATTCACACAGGATAAAATCAGTTCTACATAATTTTCGTAGTGTAAACAGTATAATTTAAGTTCCCATCTGTACAGTCCTATCTCATTTCTTAACAATTTAGCTGCGGTCATAGATTACAGACATTATCGTAAATGACGGTTTTTTGCTCACGCACCCCAAAAATGTCACCAGAAAGCCCATCTCCCTTCATTAGCAACAAAGGCTGTTTATCTGCGAAGCATATTAAGTCCCACTGTCAAGTTCCTTTAGAGAATCTTAACAGAAAACCCACGTGCAACAGGAACACTTTTCCAGCGTCTTTAATACAACTTTCCTCTTATTTGTGAATCAAAGTAAACTAAATGATAAAGCCAGAGTGGTTTTTTGTTTTATTTACGATCAACTCGGTATGCCACCATGGGGACTTTAAATTTCACCGTTCGTAATTGTTACGATTTCTCGCAAACTCCTCCATTTAATACTGATAATTAGGTGCAAACGCTCGCGCCCTGTTAGAGATTATAACTTTTCAAGACATTTATGCAACAAAAATTATATAGACAATGATAAAATTAATTGGTTCATATGTAAGAAACAATGAAATATTTCTTGTGCATTATGAAACTCTTAGACAATCTGCGAATTAACAAGACTGTTTCTAACTTGTCAACGTCAAAGCAATCTTACTCTCCAGTGAACAGTTAAAATGCCATTAAAGTTTCTTACCCATCCTACTTACTTCCCACTGAACAAATGAAGAAATATATAGCGACTAAAGCATTTTGAATAAATATTCCTTTCGTTAAACGGTAACGAAGCGTGCAAAGGATTTTTAATCCAACAATAATAGTTATAAACTTCCGAAAGCGAAGAGCCCTAGCACATGCAAAACTTTGCATACATCAAAAAATATTAAAAAAAAAAAACAAACACACCCGTAAAGTCTACAGACTAAAGCAGAGCAGTATACTTGGAACTCATCTCAAACCATTGAAAAATGCTTTTAAATTACAGGAGAAGTCTTGCACTCAACAGTCTCAGCCACGCATTTAGCATTTCTGCATTTAATAAAAGTAGTCCAAACCCCAAATTTGAACCCCCCTACTCTCTGCTGTACTCATTACAGCGTTTTGTAACAATAACTTCATCTTTAGGTGAGATAACAAAGAAAAAGAAAAATGCATGTAGAAATATTCACTCTCCAAATCTGCGCGAGATCTTCTTTGGTGGAAATGAATTATTCTTCACTATTATTTTTTGGGCGCCCATTCAACTGAAGTGACTTCATGGCTGCAAGCAAAATTGGATCAGCGCACTCTGGACTTGAAGGTTTGTAATCTCGCAGTTGGCGCCGAGCCTAGTAAAAAAATTAACTTTCCTCAGGACAAAGACTGTTCAAGGAGTGACTCCCAGAAAAGGAAAACAAAAGTGACTGACTACCACACCCAGTATTCATCAAAATGTGAGTCAATTAAACAGTCATCTATAACTCAACAGGCCCGTACCTGCTCAGGAAAGTTTCCCAAAAAAAGTTTCCCTTCGAAATCCCAATTTTTAGACAAGACCGTTTAACTACGTCCGTGGCGTAAACTTGCCATCAAGATCAAAATGATCAGAAGCCTTCTAACATACCTTCATGTTTATAAATCCGAGAACATTTTTGCCCTCGCCAAATAAAGGCACATAGATCAAAGAATCCGCATCAATTTTAGTCGGAATCTGGAAGATACACGAGAGTAAAAGTTAAAAAAGAATTCAAAAACTCTAAAGTGCTGCAGAAAAAATACCTTGACAATTTGTCCGTTATTCGTTTTCGCCCACTCAACCATTTTTTCTTTATCGCAACCAGTTGCATAAATATTATCAAACTCATATGTGTGCGCTAAAATTGCGTCACCGGTGGCTAGAAGCTTCTCTCGAAGGTCAGGATTCTGGACAAATTTATGCATCACCGCGTGATACAGTAGCACCAGCCCCTGTGTTCGCTTCCATTCTTCAATCTGAAATTATTTAATAAACAATTCGCAAGCAAATCCACCAAAATTCAAAAATTCCGAAAGTTTTCTGAAACCGCTAGACGTGATTGTCATCAAAAGTGAACCAAAATTATGTAAATGCAAAAAGTGAGTCTAATTTTTTAAAAATATTTCTTTTACAGAAAAGAAGCTAAAAAGACCTTTTCAGTCGAAACATTGGCAGAACGTAGGATTTTTTTCGCGATAATTTTCACTTGACCTGAATCAATTACGGTTCTTATTTCGGAAGCTACATTAGCACCAGCTAATGTGTAAAGTTTACAGGCTTGATAGTAATGTTCAACACTGGGATAATCATGCCCTTCAACTGTCAACGTCACCTTAAACAAATTTTCAAGTTATTTGCTGAACAAAAAACCAAATTCAGACTAGCTCAAAGAGTGTTGCACCATTAAAATTTTCTGTGAATAATTTGCCAAATACTAAGTCAACTTTATAAATACCGCTTACTTCGATGAAAATAAACTAAACCTTCCGACCAAGTAAAAAAAAGTTGTAAACACTCTGAGAACAAGAACGCTAAACTTTTCAAGAAGAAAAATTTTTTAATATAAGAAACTTCATAGCAAGTTGACCAAAATATGAAAATTTTTACCGGATAGAAATTTGAAAGGAAATGCTGACGACCGTTAAAACATACAATCTCATCAGCATTAATTTTATAGTCATCTGTATCTATGTCAATGGGAACATCGGCAACCTGAACTGCTTTAACTTTGATTGGTGTTTAAGAAAAGAGAAAAAACGCCTCAAATAAAATAATATTCTTCCAGGGCAACGTAAAAAAGAGCGAATTTCACAAAAAATGAAGCCTAATAATTGTAGAACTTCTAGCTGTTTTTGAAGATAAAATATCTCCTGTAGGTTTTAAATTGAAAAAAAAGAGACCGGAGGTGGCGTGAGCGGCTTCCGAGGAAAACGTCTAACAGGTTCTCTACGGCTACTTTCAAAACTTGTATACTGACGGCCACCTGCTCTGTCAAGAGTAAAATCAATATTACTCGTCCTCATACGATAGTTCTACAACAAAACAATAGTGACAAATACTCATTAGAGAACACTTAATCTAGACACAAAGAAAATTTAACCACAAAATGCTTTAAAATCACAGTGATAAGTAACGATATACTTACGTAATAGCGATGATTCAATGACGCCGAAAGTGGAAGCAAAAAATTATCAAAGCTTCTCTGCCGACGAGCAGCTTTTTCTCGTGCTAACTCCATCTGTTTCAAAGTTGCAGGTGTCGACATATCCTCAGATTCTTCCCCCTATATGTTGGAAAAAAACGATTAAAACAACCTCCAAAGCTGCTGTCCAGGATAAAGGTTAAAAGAGCTTGAATAAGACGAAGAAACATGTAAAGCTACTAAAATATGTCAATACATATCCAGTCCTTAGATAAGCTGAAGTATCTAGCAAAGTCTTTACATAAAACCTTTCCAACTAAAAAAACAGTTCCTTTTACGCTAAAATTAAAGCATTTATGAGTAGTTCCATTCAAGAGAAACTCTTTCGCTCAACTTTAACAACGAACATGAAAAATTCCTTGCCCATGAAACATATTGAGCTAAATAACTTGTTTTACATTCAGACGAACAAAATTTATGAAAACAATGCAAAGAACAAATAATTCACATAATTTAATGAATAAAATTTAGGAAATAACAGGCGACAAAAGACTCGTCGCTTTTACTTGTTCCTGAAAACAAATGAAACAGGTAGCATTTCTTGTACCCATTATCGAGAAGAATGAAAAGAAAATTCTACACAAACACTACCAATTTGTTTAATCATCCGTACAAAAGACAAAAAAATTTTAAAGTACATTTATTCTACAACTGCTTTCTTGCTCCTTCCTGCATGGACAACTGTGCATAAGTAGGGAATTATTCCCCAGAAAAAAACAATATCATTCCCGATTCTCTTCTGTACAGTTGTCATGGGGCAATAGGAACAGTTGTCTATCATACAGAGCAGTAACAGTACAAAGCCAAACGGAAGCGGAAAACAACAAAATAACGACAACGAGCTTTCGCCCCGTGCCCGTCTATGTGTGTTTCAGCGCCCCAGAACTCTCCGCTTCCTTTACAGCACTTTTTCCACCCTCTTGCGACCACTACTCGTGATGCTGCTTGCGGCAGTGCGTGTGTGTGTATGTGTAACCAGCCTCATCAAACCGTCCAGTACTATATGCACTTACACTACGCAGCAACCTCCATTAAAGCTACTGAATCAGCAAAATTATAACGTCCAACAAACTTGAACCGGAAATTACTTAGAAGAATGGACGTCCAGACCCAAAACAAATCTCCTGTTACGATCTTGACGTGTACTAGAAAAATGCTACCCGGTGACAGCTACACATCCCTAGAAATTAGTGCTTTGGTGTAAATAAATTTATGCATACGTTTCCGCCAAAAAAAAACTTTTCGCTTGCAACAGCCCAAAACCAATCGTCACAATTTTTTTTCCGACGCTCAAAGTAGACTGAAGAGAATTTTATCGGGAGCAGTAAACGCTCATTCAAAAGGCTTCCTCTTTCGGTGTGCATAACTGGACGACAAACATCTTAACCGGTGAATAATTTTGAGTGACTATCCCAACACAAATGATTGGCCAGTTGAAATAAATCCAAAGATGTGTTGAAAGTAATCTATATTTGAGACAATAACAGTTTTACAGGAAAATTTAACGCCAGCTTTCACACTGATTTTTAAAACGGCTGCAGCAACATGCCTTTTGGCATTCTTTCAAATATCCATTAGGCTTCGTCACTGCAGATTTACCATCGTTTGAATTTGAACCGTCTAGTATTATCCCGTTGGCTTTAATTCTGCATTTACCGTCTTCTAGCACTCGCCTGATCCATTCCATCACTGGGAAAGCGTTTAAGTTAACACATTACAAAGGAACTGCTGGAAATAAGCAAAACTGGATGTTTCTTTGCTAAACTGTATTGTTCATTTCTGTGATTGCTAATCGCTTTAGTAGCGCAATTCATATCACAGTATACTACTTTTTCAGACGTAACAGATATCCAATATAAGTATCTTTTGTAGCATTGCTGCCGAAGTAAGCTGTAATTTCGGAGCCTTGCGGTATCAGGAAAAGTCCCGTATCAGTGTATCTCAACAACTAGAATATTCTGATGAAAGGGGCTGACAAGACCTTTACTTGGCAAAGGAGGGCAACGAGCCGAAGAAGAATGTGAAACACGATTGTTTACAGGCATCTGAATAGCCACAATACAGAGGAGTCTTCCTGTGAAATTTCATAATACCACTACTTTCCTGTTTGTTTTGATAGTATAGAAGTAAATAATTTTTAGTGAGAATCATCTCCATATAGCCTAAAAATTTAATTTTTGCTCTGTATGTGAGAAGCCCGATTGCAGATTCCTGTTTGGCTTCACAGGAATTGGAAGAAATTAACAGGCTTAACATTTAACCAGCTGTTGTTCAAAATAATATTCAGTCTGGTCGATTTACACTCGTTTCCTGTTAGTGTAGAAGAAAGTCAGCCTTGAAAAAACAGTGCTGCACATGAATATGCGAAAACTGCATAATATAAAATAAAAGTGGAGATCAGCTGCATGTGAAGAGCCAGGCATCATAGGTGATAAAGTTTTAAAAAAAGTTATCAAACAGTGCTAAGAGGTAGGGCGAGTTCAGCAGCTTTGAATATCTTTACGAATGTTGAAGATGAATCTGTCTGTAGATTTCTTGCTTCTTTCATGTTAACCTTAACAGTCGCTGAATTCTTTCAACTGACTAGCCAGCCAATTGCCAAAATAAAATCTTTCTCTGCTGAGGACGTTTACTGTTTAAAAATGCATGTTGAATAAAGGTTCTTGGAAGACCCTTATAGGGATTTAATAAAGGAGCTTTATCTCTTCTTAATTTTTGTAATGTAAAAAAAATAACTGTTAGTTGGCTTTCATTGAATATATAAATGTTTAATATAAAATTTAATGACCGATTAAAATTTTGCTCACCGACGATTTTAGAAGAACCGCGTGACGGAGCAAGGTATTGGCCACAGTATGATGAAGGTTGTCGTACTAACCACTTTAAGCAATATGAAGCCCGAAAAAAAATTGAGAAAAAGGGAAAAGAAGAAGATTATATTTCTGTTTCCCATAATGTTTGCCTGCAGGACAAGATAAATTCGTGGCGGTGAGAGTTGCTTAGTTGGTCCGGGGAAAATACGGGTGTTGGGCTGCAACAAATAGAGGTATTACCCACTTGGAAGTTTATCGAGGAAATGAAGGGAAGAGTTGTTTTACTAACACGACATATGCGTGGATCGGGGCTGTAAACAGATTCCCTTGTCATTTTGGTGGGGGAATTTGTGAGTTATAATAATGCGAGAGTACGATCCGGATTTTAAGCTGTGAAAAATTGTTATACCTTGCTGCGGTATCTATCTGTGAGAGGCAAAATGGAACCCCTTAGACTTCAAGAGCGAGTTAGGCCAAGCTACAAATTTATATAATTCAATCGAAGAAAGAGGATTGGAGCGCTTAACTGTAACCCATTGTAAATTGGTCTATCAGAATCAGTAAGGCGGGCGGTAATAGGTGAAGAAAGGTGTCACTTGTGAGCGTCGGAATCATAAAGTGTTAGAAAACAATAGTGTTTATCCAGAACGTCAGTCGGGTCACTTAGACGTTTAATGATAGACGAGGGTGGCATAATAAAGGAAGTGACAAGTGTAACACATGTCATATCAGAAAATAATTATGGTTATTCATGGGTTTTAAATGCAGCTGCAAAAGCTTATTATAAAGAACAGCTAGGTAAAACGTAATATTTGCAAAGTTCCTATGTACAGCGTAGTTTATGTATTATTTCTGCGGATAACAAGTTATCAAAAAAGTTCTTTGAGTACGTTTAACATCTTGCCCAACTACACATGGTGGAAATATTGAAGGTACTTTTTGTTGCTACATTTGAAAAAGATCTTTGAGTATGATTTTCAGTAATTCTTTTGTGCTACTCTATTGCTTTGAGTTGCAGAAACAAAATTACAAGATGGCAGGATACAGCTGTATAAAATTAATTACTCTCTATGGTTAAAAGAAAGTCTTTAAACATGCTTTCTGAATTAAAATATTACGCAGAATTGTCAGAATTAAATTGGCCTATGCGGAATACTATTAGTACTTCAAATGTCGACGTAAAAGAGTGACAGTTTCACAAATTACGGTTTTCGTTGTGGCGGTTAAAAACTGCTAAGTTTTACTGTTATTTCTTGCACGGAAGAAATTTTTCAATTTTTATCGTGAAACTGAATGCGATGTTTCAAGGATATGTGGTGGATGGAAGAACGGGTAGCTGGAGTTAGTGTGAATCTTCAGTCGAAATTTTCTCAGCTTTTTTTCCTCTTTAGTTTTTTTTATTTTCCCATTATGATTTTAACTTTTTTTTTTTGGCCGAGCTTCGATAATTGATTTTTTGGCTTCATAGATTTTTACCGTTGCATATCACTTGCTCTCAATTTAACTGCCACTCTAAGCCTTTTTTTAAAAAAGATGACTAACTTTAGTTTTTACGTCGCCTATTGTAATTTGAATTTTTAACCTATATTGTACTATCGTTTTTTTTATTCTTATATTTAAATCATCTTATTTCAATAAATTTTACTTCGTCGCTCAAGCATGCTAAAAAAATTGCATGTACGGGAATGTGAGAAACATGGTGGGGAATGGGATTAGAAGAATTGGTAATCTTTAGGAGCAGTGTTTCCGCGGAGTACGAATGAACAGCGTCAAATTAGGGGTGATCTGGAGAAGCATGCTAACTTGTTTTGGAGTTTAAGTTACGCTCCTAATTTTTGATGTGTCGGATAAAGCTTTAGGTTCTTACGGTAGTTCATTTAACAAACAGTGTTTAACAGTTTAATATTATGGATCATCAAAAGTCAATAAAAGTTTACTACATTCAGTTGTTATACAATTTTCTGAACATTGTCCTTCACCATGTAATGGAGTTGTTCTAATGGTCCGTTTCTGAAGAATCTATTTTATTAAACTGACCTTTTGTATGTGTCTAAAACGTTTGTTGTTTAAACACCGCCTGCAATGAAATGTCAGTGAAAAGCTGTTTGAGAGGATGTAATTTGTATGGTAATATAACGTAAAAAGTATTGCTGGCAATAGGAAAGACGGGTCATTTGTAACATAAATCGAACAAATACAAGTTATAAGATGAAAAAAATTTTTTTTAATGTTTTAACATTATTAAGCGTTTACCAAATACTGACAGTTTAAATCTAAAACAGACAACAGCAATCGTAATCGGGAGCAAACTGGTAATCAGACATTGTTAATTATGGTTTCTAACTAACATCAGTGTGTTAAGGATAGAAATTTATTAAAAAATTATAGTTAACCAAAATTTACGTCGAAAAAAAAGGAAAAAACAAAAGTTAATTTATAGTCTTTGATTTGTTTGACAAACTTTATGAAAAAGATAAACAAAGTGGTGTTCAAATACTTTGTAGTAAAAGCGAATAATTCAACCGTATTGTTTTAATTATCTCAGTTTTAAAGTTAAAGAAATTTATTTAACTGTTAGAGCAATCAATGAAATATTTTTTACAGCAACAGTTAAAATACAGTTTTTGGATTTGCAATCAACAAAACTTACTGCAAAAATACAAGAAGTCTTGTCAGTCGCCAATGAATACAGTTATACTTTTTTTTTTTTTAAACTAACTATACAGCATTATATAAACTTTGTTGGTAGTTCAGATAGTTTAAAAATAAAATTAAATTGTCTTAAAAAGACAGTTAAAAGTGAATTAAAGTATGAAATATTGATTATGAAGTTATGTGAAGGTTAAATAACAGTATTTTCTCTTAATTCTTATCAAGACAGTTACTTCATTGTTTTTCATTACCATTTCAGAGCTATTAATCGTTAATGGTTGTTGCTTATTTTACAGCAAACAAGTGTTCTGAATAAACTTTTCTGGACATTGGTAAACCGGCAGATGGTGATATTAATATCAGATTAACAGTTTTTAAATGGAACAAAAGCATTTGGTGTAATTTGAAGTAGCCGATACAGCGACAAAGGAAGATTGGTCAGTGAACGTTTTCTGAAGAACGTCAATGTCAGCTGATATATGGATTGTTTCTTATGTGCAAAAAAAGCATTTTTTTTTTCTGTCACATCGTGCTGTTTTATTATTGTTTATTTTGATAGTATTTAT